TATGCTATGTATCGCAGTGTAACTTTTTATTTTTCTAACATTGAAATATGCCCATAAAAGGCAAAACTGTTGTAACACGATCAGCAAGCCACTCTGCCTGGGTGGTGCTGCCCACTGCAGGTGTGGCTCACTGGTGACTAGTGTGGGTCGGCAGCCAGACCCTGTCAAGGCTGAGGAAGGCTTAGAGAAGGGAAGAAGTTTGATGTGACAGCCTGAGTGAGCGTCTCAGAGAAGCAGAGGTATGCAGTGAGGCCCTGGAAGCCTCTCCTTCACCTTTTCCCCAGTGAATAACACGGGCAGCGTCAGTGTCTCCCTCCTTCACGTTCTACCTCATTGTACTCAACTGCTGCTTTTGCCAGGAAATATGCGCTTGAGTTTTGGGGGAGACCCGGAGGCTGCGAAGCAGCCTGAGTCAAGGCTCAATGTGGCGGACCTGTTAATTTTGGTGACATCTAAAGCAGATCCACGGGTTGTTTTGCAGTTACAAACAACACTTTATTTTTTTTATTATTACATAATGATCTTACTCATCATAGGGAATTTGTTCCCATACACGGTAAGTCTTTTTTATTATTTATTTATTTATTTATTTGGTACAGGGTCTCACTACGTAGCTCAGACTCAGAGTGATCCTCCTCTCTCCCCAGCACTGGGATGACAGGCATGTGCTACCATGCCCAGTTGCAGTTGCCAGCAAGGCAAGGGTCAGCACAGCATGCAGTACCAGGGATCGAACCCAGGTCCTTGCACTTGCCAGGCAGGCACTTAGACCACTCGGCTATCTCTCCAGCCCCATGTACATGAGTCATATTCATGGCTTCTTCTTTACATGTGGTTTTCTTTCAATAGATTTCAGTGTGCCGTAACTAGGTTTTTCTACAGTCATTTCTGGTTTTTTCATAATCTGAATCTTTTTACATCATCATTTTAACTTTGTAATCCTGTATTTCAGAAAACTCAATCCACTACTTCCTTGCTTGAGCATTATTCTACCCAAGAGTATGCAGTCGCAAACTCTTCTGTCTCTGAGTTGGAGCCTAACTGTAATTTAGATACTATACAAATATCAAAATATTTCCTCTTTCATTAGACATACAAAAATTGTATTTCTTTCATAAATAACACACTGGACAAATGCTCTGAAAAAATATGGTTTTGTGTTTGTTAATCATTCCTTTAATTTAAGCATCTGTTTTGCATCAGGATAAAAGATGGCACTGAGAGAATGGAACAAAGCAGCCAGTCATAATGGGTTCTAGGCCAGAAGTGTGCTCCATGTACAGAGAGAAGACAGAACAGAAGAACCTGTCCCAGTCGGTGGGACAGGCCAGAGGAGGCATCTGGGAGCAGGGACGCCCAAAAAGTCACTAAAACTGTCAGTGTTATTTGTGATCCATAAAATATTCAGTGGTTATACCTCCTCAAAGAAGCATGAACGGACATATCCTCTTTGCAAAAGAACA